ACACACACACACACACACACACAAAATAACATAACATCTACAGTGTAAACAGCACTGCTTGAAACATTAAAATTGCTCTTAGATTAATAAGGGATTATATTTGGAGGAAATTATATTTGACTTTTTTTTCTTTCTCTTTTAATCCCTGGTGTAAATGTGACAAGTGTGAAACAAGAATAAATCTGAACTGAACTGAAGTGAATTGCTCAATTCAGAGCTAGATTTCAACAAAAAAGTATTATCTCTTCGCCGCTTCTAAAATCCTATTACACCTTGCTGAAATGTCTGGTTGGATTTTGGGGGATTTGACTGTGTCAAAAACAAATAATTAGACCAGCTTTGTTTTACATTCAAACTTAAACTGTGGTATTTTCCATTTTGGAAAAACACGTGATATTTATAGAAGAGGATGAGACACACAAAACTGACTATTAACACTGGACCTCGAATCTAAACTAAAAAGAAAAACAAAACCATTTTTATGTCTTCTTATAAAAGGCTTTAGAGCTATAAGAGTAGTCTAAACTGACACAAACTTACTTTATCATATCCTTCTAGGTCACGCAACATTCTAACTTCAAAGAGGTTGCCCTCCACGGACAGCAGGGACACCTGGGAGTCTGAGAGGATGGAGAAGGGGATAGAGGAGATCTCCAGACAGTTCTCCTCCAGCCGTAAGACCTTCAGTCTGGGAGCACGAGACACCTCTGGAGACAGAGTCGAAATCTGAAACAGAACAAACACAGCACAAAAAGTCACCCTGACACATCTATACCATAGACACATTTCCTAAACGCAATAAACTAAAAAAAAACCTCACCTGGTTCTGATTGAGGTTGATTTCAATGGCTTGCAGTTCGGCCACCTCTGCAGGAACCACCTGGATCTTATTCTTGGACAGGTCCAGAACATCGAGCTGGCGAAGGGTGCAGAGTCCGCTAGGAAACTCCTTGAAGCGATTCCCAGACAGGCTCAGGGTCCGCAAAGACTTCAGCTGACCCACCGATGAAGGAACCTGATTCAACTGGTTCCCATTTAAAATAAGAGTCTCCAGCTTCTTGAGTTTCCCGATGTCATTTGGTAGACTGGCTATACACGAATGAAAAAAAACTAATGGAGTGCTTAAGGGTTCATATCATAGAATACAGGCTCCTATGAAATAATATGACTTTGATTTATTATGTAGACACTATAGTAAGAAATGTTTAATGAGCAGGAAATCAGCATATTAGAATGATTTCTGAAGGATCATGT